TCCTGGACTTGCTTTGTAGAGCAGGCTGGCCTCAAACTCACAGAGACCCACTAGCCTCTACCTACCAGAGAGCTGGGATTACAGGCATGCACCACTGAGCCTGGCTATACCCAGCTTTTAAAAACATATTTTAAGATTTCTTTTTGCAAGTCTGTGTAGATGTGTCTTTGTCTACGTGTGTGTGAGTGCAGGTGCCCTCAGAGTCCAGACGAGGGCACTGGGTCTCTTACTGCTACAGTTACAGGCAACTGGGACTCACACAACATGGCTGCTGGGAACTGAACCTTGCAGGAGTGCTCTCAAACATTGAGCCACCTCTCCAGCCCCCACCTAAAATCAGTTTTTGAAAGCATTGTGTCTCCTCTGAAAATAGAAAAGTGTACAAGTTAACTTTGAGGTTGTATGCGATAGATAGATCCAGTGACAACGTCCTTGAGGTGTGTAGTGAGACCACAGTCCTCTTTCTATGCCCCAATCCTTGTCCTTTATCATTTGACTCCTTGTCTGGTATAGATAGAAGCTGCTGGTTTTTGAAAAGGGAAGAGGGCCCTTGACTGCTGTGATGCATTTGGCAATGTCTGGAGGCACTTTGGGTTGTCATAAGCCTATGGCAGGGCTGAGTTCCAGGTGAGGAATCAGATGGGGTGAGGAGATATGGAGCAGAGGCTGGGAGTTGCTATAGTTCTACTATCATAGAATAGTCCATCACAACAGAAAGTTGCCTGGCCCCAAATGTCAATAGCCCTGAGGTTGAGAAATCCTCACACTGTGTCAACAGTGTATGTCTATGAAAGATAACATTTCAAAGCCACAAAACGGTCACAGCTAACATGGACACCAGCCGTGTTTTGTGGAGTAATAAATGGAATGAGTGATTGCTCCATAAGCAGACTCATATCCCCAACCCCTGACACTGTTTACTCAGAGGCTCCAAGATGCTCCACTCTAAGGCATAAATTTACAAACTTAGATTATTATTTGTGCCAGGCATTGGTGGTGCAAGCCTTTAATCCCAAGCGCTCAGGAGGCAGAGGCAGGCAGATCATTGTGAGTTCGAGGCCAGCCTGGTCTACAGAGTAAGTTCCAGGACCAATGCTACACAGAGAAACCCTGTTGGGGGGGGGGCAAGAAAAAGATTATTATTTGTATTTATTGACTTAAAAATGGAATAAAAAAATGAAAAAATGAATGCCATTATTTCCTTGACTAATTAATGTGAACTCTTGGGGGTTTGATAACCAAAGAAAGAAGTAAACCATCTACATAAACCAACTATCCATGAAACTTTACTTTTTATTTTGAAAATTGCATTGAATTTATCTTGTGGCCTTGTGGCCATGCATGGTTTGGGAGGTGTGGGAGCACATGCCACAGACTTCATGTGGAGGTTCTTTCCTTCCATCTCACCATCAGGCTCGGTGTCAGGTGCCTTTACCAGCTGAGCCATCTTGCTAGCCCTATGTATTTATTTATTTTGAGACAGGTTCTCACTATGTAACCTAGGCTGGCCTTGAACTCTTTCTGCTTCCACCACCACCACCTCCACCACCAGGATTAACTGGACATTTATTGCCATGCCTATCTGTTGAACTTTAAAACTGAGTGTAAGAGATTTCTCTTTTAAAAATTTATTCATTTAATTTTGAGACAGGGTTTTGTTGTTGCCCTGGCTGGCAAGGACCATGTAGACCAGGTTGGCCTCAAATTCACAAGTAACTGTTAGGATTAAAGGCACATGCCACCAAGCCCAGCTAAAATCTTTCTTCTAGAAAGGAGAAAACAACACCAACAGATACGAGTGAGGGAGGAAAAGGTCCTCTGAGGGTGTCCTAGTTGCTGAGTCCATTATCTCTGCTTAGTCAGCCAGGAAATTGCTGCTTTTTGCTTAAAGCCAACTTGAATTCAATTTGTCACTTGCAACCAACAGCACCCTGACTAGTACACCACCAGATTAATAGCAGCAATATTTCAAGAATTAGCGACAATACAATGAAACAGGAAGATTGAATTTGACATTGGTTCTTTGATTACAACGATTAAGTTAGAGGGGCTGGAAAGATGGCTTAGTGGTTAAGTGCACTGACTGCTCTTCCTAAAGGACCCGGGTTCAATTCCCAGCACCCACGTGATAGTTCACCACTGTCTGTAACTCCAGCACTCTCATACAGACAGACAGACAGACATGCAAGGCAAAACACCAATGTACATTAAAAAAAAAAAATCAGATGATATGACTGTGGTGAGTGCACAGACCTGACAATTACCTTTGAGGTGGCGACTGTCTTAGAGTAAGTTTCTCACAATGTTGGATGGGAAAAGCACACATTTGAAAGGCATTTTATCTGGATGGAACGTGCTAGAAGGGCAGGGTGCAGAGGAGTAGCAAGGTAAGCCTGGGCCACTACCAACAGCACATTATGACTGGCTGTGTGTACTTCCAGAGGGTGATATGATAGGGGAAGGATAAAGTGGCCAGAAAGGAGGTTTTGAAGGGCTGGATAACAAATTAAGACCTTAGCCCCAAAGCTTTGGGAAGCCACCAAAGTATATTTCAAATATTATTCTGTTAAATGTGCATGCTAATAGCTACCTTTAGAGGTTGTTGTGAAAATTACATGAAAGAGTTAAGTTGATTAGAGGCTTAAAAATGGCCACACCAAAAACTCACCCTTATTCGGTTCCAAACACTTAAAAACTCAGAACAGAATGTCCTTTGGTAGGTGGGATTATGGAAAATTCACGCCAGTGGTGTAGACTTAGTTTAAAGGAAGCTCAAAGCATCTTCAGAGCCCGATGCAGGTGAGGGTTGGGATTGTAGCCCAATTGGTAGTTTGTTTGCCCAGCACATACAAAGTGCTAGGTTTGTTCTCCAGCACTACAGAAACCAGGAATGGCTGTCCATACGTGTGTCCACAGCGTAGGGCGTGGGGGTAGAGGGTAACAATCCCAAGGCCACCCCCAGCTATATCACAAATATAACAAATTCAGGGCTAGTCAGGGTTGTGTGAGGCTTCGTCTTAAAAACAAAAACAAACAAGCAAACAAAAGCCCAAATTCCAGGTTAGTCTGTAAGGAGCTGGACCTTTCAGGTTCCCTCCAAACCATGACATTTCAAACTGAGAGAAACGTTTCAAGATCATTCTAGAACTGAAATGACTCTAGCAGTCATATGGTTTTTCAAAACCTCTGAGTGGTAAAGAATAAAATATCCTATGATCACATAGCAATTGAGTTTTAGGTTAGCTTTAGTTTAAGCCGTGTTTTGTGATCTAAAAGCTAAATCTTAAAAAAAATGCTTTTTCTGAGCTGGGCATGGTGAGGCACGCCTGTGTCCCAGCACTTGGGGAGGCAGAGGGAGGTGGATCTCTGTGAGCTCGAGACCAGGCTGGCTACAAAGTGAGTCCAGGACAATTAGAGCTACACAGAGAAACCCTGCCTCAAAAAAACCCAAATAAATAAATAAAGAAAATTAAAAGCCTTTTCTGGGGCACTAGGGGAAACAAGGAAGAAAAATACTCTGTTGTGGCTTAAAATATCAAATCAATCTATTTTTTTAAAGACAGGGCTGAGAGGAGACATGTGGGAGCAGGTTCACCTCAGGCTTCCAAAGCATTGCGAGATTTCTCTCTGGTGCGATAGGTCACTGGCTGATTCCAAGGGGCTCCTCAGGCCATTTCTCTAGGCTAGTGGCTTACAAATTTTAAGGGCATCAGAGAAATAACCTGGGGAAATGTGAGTAAGAACAAAATCCTCAGAGATGGCTCAGTGGACCTCAGCACTTGGAGTCAAGCCTGTGACCTGAGTTTGTTCCTGGGACCCACATGATGGGAGGAGAATGGGAGGAGAGGACTCCTAAAGGTTGTCCTCTGACCTCCGAAAGTGTGCCATAGCACGTGCACAAGGATTGGTGTGTGTTTGTGTGCTTGAGCATGCTCTCTCACACACAGAGTCATGCATAAATGTAACAGAATTTTTTTTTTTTGGGGGGGGGAAGGTAGAGCTGATGAAGTAGAGGAAAAGAGAAATCATGAAAATATAGCCATTTTGGATGTAGCAAATGAGCTTGAAATCACAGTGCAATCTGTTTCTTGCCAAGGGAATAAACCTACCAGATACATATTAATATGAGTCCAGGAAATCCAAAAGAAAAGAAGGGTTAGATGGAATGGTTTTATGTTCCTGGATACTTTTTCTGTTTCTACATATTTGAAATTTTGATTCCTTACAAGTTACTTCCCCTAGCACTTATAAACATTATAAGATGTTATTGATAACTTTTCCCCCATCTTAAAAATATAACATGTATTTAGAGTAATCAATTTTTCTCAAGTGAGCTAGTTATCCAAGAAGTTAAATCTGATTTTAGATGTCAGCCTCCTGTAAGGCTGTGTCTCTCCAAAGTTCCCATATTATGCCTAATAAAAATGATTTATTAGGCGTAATCTGGCTTCTGAAACACAGTATTTTAAATACCTCTGCCTCATTTTTTATAATAGCGGTTTTATTTAACTCCCAAGTCGTCATCCCACCTGGGCACTACCATTGTCTGTGCTTACTCTGCACAGGTGAGCTATCCACTCCCTGTACTATGGCTAAAGACCATTAAGAACAGGAGCTGCACATTCATACTGAGGATGATTGTGCATTAACATTGTGTGTATTGTCAGAAAAGAAACACAGCCTCTAAATGTAGAAAGTGCTGTTTCCCCACAGAATAAAACTAGACTCCCATTCTCACATTCAGCTACATAACTATGTATGTTAAAAATGGCCTTAAAGCACAGCTGTGGAGGAAACGAACTAAATCCACATATCAATACCAGCTTTAGAAGATGAAACACATCTCACTTTAAAGATAAAATCTGAGGACAAACTTTGTAAGTTAGCATAATCTTCATGGTGTTGGTTTTTAGTAGATTTTTACCCCTAAAACAGAATGTTTCCTTTAACCCCCCAACCCTATGTTCTGAAGCTTTTGTAAGAAGCCAGCTGTACAGTACCTTGATCAGGTTGTGTCCCACAGTGTAGACAGCTGCTAAATTTCCCTTCTCTCCTGGCGCATGCATACCTGTGCCAAACCCATTCCAAGCAACAAGGTAAGGGTTGTGAATTGTAATCCAGTACTTGACACGGTCTCCAAAGGTCTGGAAGCAGAACGTGGCATAGTCATTGAAGAGATCTACCATAGTCGCATTTTTCCAGCCCCCATATTCCTCCTGTAGCGCCAAAGGCAAGTCCCAGTGGTATAAGGTAACGACTGGCTCAATACCCCGGAGTAGCAGAGCGTCCAGAAGCACATTGTAGTGCTGGAGACCTTTCTTGTTCACCGCTCCTACCGTTCCACTGGGGAACAGCCGTGGCCAGGAGATTGAGAACTGATAAAAAGAAACTCCCAAAAAATCCAGAGCCGTCAAGTCTTTTTCCAGAAAAACGTAACTGTCAGCGGATCTCTCCGTGCTGTTGACACCCTTCAGGCGTGCGTGGACGAAACGATCCCAGATCGAGGGTCCTCTTCCATCTGTCTGCCGACTCCCCTCCACCTGAAACGCTCCGGTCCCGACGCCCCAGAAAAAGTTTTTAGGGAAAGTGTCATAGAGGAACAGCTGACTTGCATTTACCGGACTCACGTAATGTTTTTTAACCCACATGGCTTTCCCGTCTCCAGAGAGTCCGGTAACGGCTCGCAGCAGAACAAACGCTGACAGCAGGACAGATCTTCGCAGTGCCCTGTTGGACATTGTTTTCCTAGAGCGTGTGTTTCTTTCATCAGAGCTGGAGAAAATCCATTCATTCCCTGGAGACCCTGCCGCACAGCCTGTCTTCACTTGCCACTGACTGCTGGACTGTCTTTATCAGCGCTCCAGTAAAAGCCTGTGATTGTAAAGCCCTGTCAATGATTAGCCTGCACCGGGAGACCTAGGATGGGTCAGCAGAGCCACGCGGTTTGAGGGAGGTGGCCTCGTGGCAGTCCACAGCACGTGTCGGTCGTTCTTCCTGGGATGCGGGAAATCAGATGGATGAAAACGCATCCCCGACACTAATTTGAATGTGTTAAATAAACCTAGGGAAACAATGCTCGAGAGTGGCATTTTCTGTGAGTCTTTCACGTGGCCGAAGATCTTTTCTGAATGTTTCGAACTTTATTGAATAAGGAATCTTCTACTTTTCTATTTCCAGAGTTTGAGTGGTAATCTTTTTAAGATTTATTTTTATTTATTATTTATACACTATTCTGCCTGCGTGTGTGCCTTCAGGCCAGAAGAGGGCACCAGATCGCATCATACATGGTTAGGAGCCACCGTGTGGTTGCTGGGAATTAAACAGGACTCTTGGAAGAGCAGCCAGTGCTCTTAACCTCTGAGCCATCTCTCCAGCCCCTTGAGTGATAATTTTATCTACCATTTTGGGAAAAGAAATTTTATGTATAAGTCAATAGCCAGAACTAAATAATTAAAAGCAGGATATTACACTTCAACCCAAACCATACACACCTATGAATAACCTTAGTTAATGTTACCTGTTTCAAGAAAACTTAGTTGAACATTGTGGCTCCTGCCTATGGTTCCTGCAGTTGGGAGGCTGGAACAGGAGGACCACTGTGAGTTTAAGGAAGGCCTTGTCATGTAACTAAAAGCTATAAAGGCAACAGAGCAAGATTCCATTTCAAAGAACCCCAAACCAAACCAAGCAGCAAGCTACTTTGTCATTGGAGCACTTTGGAGGTGGTGGCCAGAGGAGCAGAAGTTCAAGGTCATTCTTGGCTACAAATGGAATTAGAGGGGGGCTGGAGAGATGGCTCAGAGTTTAAGAGCACTGCTTGCTCTTCCAAAGGTCATAAGTTCAATTCCCAGCAACCACACGGTGGCTCACAACCATCTATAATGAGATCTAGTGTCTTCTTCTGGTGTTCAGATGTACATGCAGGCAGAACATTGTATACATAATGAAATAAATAAATAAATCTTAAAAAAAAAAGGAAACAAATGGAATTACAGGTCTGCCTGGGGCTATATGATACTGAATGTGGGAGATAATTTGAGTTTGAGGACTTACTGGGGCCTATAAATTTGATTTCTTTCTAGTACTAGGGATCGGACCTAGGCCTTGTGCATGCTAATCGAATGCTGTGCCACTGGACCATATCTCTTAGTCCTCTTTTTATTTTTACACTTTAAATCAGGGGTTCATTATATTGCCCATGAACTTGATATGTAGTGCAAGGCTAGCTTTGAACTTGTGGCAATTCTCCTTTTCAGGCCAGCATCACCAGACCTAGTAAGGTACCTAAACTTATTTTTATTTTTTAAAGACAAGGTCTCACCATATAGCCATGGATGCCCTGGAACACTCATTTCTGCATTATTTTCCTGTTACGTACGAAGTGGCATAAGTTGGGTGTGGTCGTGCATATCTCTAATTTCAGTGCTTGGGAGGCAGAAGCAGGTGGTCTATAGTGAGTTCCAAGCCAAAACAAAAGACAAAAACAACAACAAAACAAAAAGCCCAAGAAGCATAATAAGAATATAATAAGAATAAAAAATAATAAGAATAAAATAATAATAAGAATAAAAAAGATGCTAGGTTGGGGATGTAGATGTAGCTCAGTCGTGGCCTAGTATGTTCAAGGCCCAAGGCTCCATTCCCTCGGAAAAAAAAAGTTGATAAGATTGTAAGTCATTAATGATTTAAATGTATATATTTATGCAATATGTATGGAAAGTAATTTTTCAACATAACATGAATCTAAACGTTTTTCATATTTTTTGATCCACTAATTCTTTTCTTATTTATGATGTATTTATTTATTTTGTATACAGTGTTCTGCCTGCATGTGAGTCAGCAGGCCAGAAGAGGGCACCAGATCTCATTATAGACGATTGTGAGCCACCACATGGTTGCTGGGAATTGAACTCAGGACCTCTGGAAGAACACTCTGTGCTCTTAACCTTTGAGCCATCTCTCCGTCCCCGATCCAATAATTCTTGAAGTTAATCATGGCTCAATTATTTTTCTCTTTGAAAATATATTTTATTATGTTTTTTTTTTTAATTTTATTTTTCTTTTTAGTTACATTTTGTTAACTCTGTGTCCCAGCTGTATCCCGCTCCCTCATTCCCTCCCCAACCCCACACTCCCTCCCTGGTCTCCTCCCTGCCCCTTTCCAAGTCCACTGATAGGGGAGGACCTCCTCCCCTTTCATTTGACCCTGTTTTATCAGGTATCTTTAGGGCTGGCTGCAAAGTCCTCCTCTGTAGCCTAAATTTTATTATGTTTTAATAATTTTGTATGTACACAAAAGGTATTTTGATCATATTTATCTCCCATTCCTCCTCCTAACTCCTCCCAGATTCACTCCACACTTCCCATCCCCCATCCCTTCTCAACTTCATTTTGTTTTGTTTTTGTCTTTTCTTCTTCCTTTATTTTTTGACAGGCTGGCCCAGAACTTACTATATAGACCATGCTGGTTTTGAATTACCAGATATCTATTGAGTCAACTTCCACTGCCCACATACTCATGGGTGTTGGCCTAGCCACTGGAGCACAGTCAACCAAGGAAGGACCACTCCTTACAGGAACTGACCCTCCCCCAGAAGTCATCAACCTTACCAGCTCCCCTGTCTTGCTGGAATACCGGCTAGCTTTGTCTTGTAGGTCTTTGTCTTGTCTAGCAGGTCTTTTTTGTGACAGGGTCTCACTATGTAGCTCTGGGTGTCCTGGAACTCACTATGTTAACCCAAGCTGGCCAGAAACCCACAGAGATCCACCTGTTTTCTTCAGTGCTAGGGCTAAAGAAGAGCCAGCCACCATGCCTGGCTCTTGTGCTGGTTGTGTGCAGACAACCATGGCTGCTGTGAGTTAAGAAATATAGCAGTTTTCCTCTTTTTCTAAGACAGGATTTTTGCCAAGTAGCCCATATGTCATGGCTAGTGTGCTCCACAGGGATCATTAACAGTTTTGAAGAATATACAGAGACATTGAAATGCTTAAGGTGGAACTAACAATTTAGTTTGGTGATAGACTGTCTTGAAGATGAATTGAATAGCTAACTAGTATGATTACAAGAATAAATCAGACAGTAAACAACACAAAATCATAAGAAAATACTCACAATTGCTACCAAATTGTGTTTGGATGGTAAGCTCTGGTTTAATTTTCCTTCTTTTATGTATTTAATTTTATTCAATTTTACTTATTTATTTATTTTTGGCTTTTCATGACAAGGTTTCTCTGTGTAGCCTTGGATGTCCTGGACTTGCTTTGTAGACCAGGTTGGCCTCGAATTCACAGCGATCTGCCTGCCCCTGCCTCTCTGAGTGCTGGGATTAATTTTATCCTTTTTTTTTTTTTTAAATGTATTTTCTGAGGCTGGGAAGAGTGCTCAGCAGTTTGAGATCACTTGATGTTCTTGCAGAGGATCTGAATTTGATTCCCAGCACTCACAAGGCAGCTTACAACCATCTGTAATTCTAGTTCCAGGGAATCTGAGGCCCTTCTCCGACCTCCAAAGGCTCCAGGCATACCTGTAGTATTTGTGTACACACGCAGGCAAACAGATGTACTCACATAAAATAAGAATAAAGATTAAGGCTCAACAAAATGTGTATGTCTCAGCAAATTTAAAGTTTCCTTTTTTAAACAAATATCATTTATTTATTATTTACAAAGCATTCTGCCGGTGCACCAGAACTCACTATAAATGGTCGATGAGCCACTATGTGGTTCCTGGAAATTGAACTCAGGACCTTTGGAGGAAGGGCCAGTGTTCTTAACCTCTGAGCCATCTCTCCGCCCCTCTTAAAATTTCTTGATAAGAAAACAGATGCTTTCCCACTAAGGCAGGAAGAAGCAAAGATTTGGATTCTCATCACTGTTTTTATGTGTGGTCCTGGTGACTGAACTTAGGCTTTCTGTAATGCTCATCACTGGGTCCCTACTCTCTTCTTGAGTCACTTGATTACCACAGTGGACTCTCTAGCTAATGCAATCACCCGAGAAAAAGAAACAAAGTACACACACTGGGAAGCAACAAACAAGACTGTAAATTCATAGGTGATCATGATTGTTTATACAGAAAAATCCCGAAGAATCAATCAAAAATCCTGATCCAAATGAACAACTATAGCAAGGCTGCAAAATGAAAGTTAATGTAGAAAAGCCAAGCAAGCTGGGCATGGTGGCGCATGCCTAGAATCCCAGTTCTGGGGGAGGCAGAGGCAGGCAAATCTGAATCTCTGTGAGTTTGAGGCCAGCCTGGTCTACAAAGTGAGTCCAGGACAGCCAAGGCTACACAGCTGTGGGGGAGGGGAAGTGTGTGTGTGTGTGTGTGTGTGTGTGTGTGTGTGTGTGTGTAGAAAAGCAAAGTAATTGCTTTCTTTTACACCACAATAAAACTTAAAATTTGACATTGAAAAGGCTGGTGTTGGGGAAGATGGCATAAGGAGTAAGAGCACATTCTGTGTACGTCTGAGCACCTGAGTTTGAATCCCCAGCACACATGCAAAAAGCTCAACATGAAGCCTGGTGTGGTGGTGTGCACACTTTTAATTCCAGTGCTGTAAGCAGAGGCAGGTGGATCTCTGTGAGCTTTAGGTCTGCCTGGTCCTAGGCCAGTGAATGCCATATATTAACACTCTGTATTTTTTTTTTTAATTTTGACATGGCCACAGGTGTCTGTAGCTCCAGTGCTGGAGGGCAAAGACAGGCAGATTTTTTTTCTCCATACACAAAAATGCTCTGCTAATATAATATACACAAAATATAATGAATAGAGCTTAATTATCTGTATCATGACACACAGGTATCATTCAATATCCAGGGTCTGGAGAATGATGGAA